TTGGATTCATTCTCTCTACAAATATCTAAAACTCCATTTTCTCTCATCTCTCTCTAAATTCTTTCCTAAAACTTCTGATCTACTTCAATCTGTAAATCTTGTCACCATAGTGTGTTGTGATTAAAGGTAAAGCTTGAGGAGAGGACCATTTTAATCTAAAAATTTTGAGTTTCGTCTTTGTCAATTTTGGGGTTTTGTTCCTCTTTTCATCTAATTTTGAGATAGAAATTTCTATACTGGTTTTAATGTTACTTACTTTCGTTATGTGTTAGTTGATTGAACTAGACTTTGGATTTGATTAGGGGTTTGAATTGATTCACAAAGTGGAGTTTTGGGATGTGTGTCTTTGAAATATTGTCAGAATTGTTTATGGTATTTGGAATTGAAGAAATTGTTTTAAAATGGAAAATGTTGTAAGAAATATTTGTTTTGGTTTTATGGAAACCCTTGATGATTCTTGGTTTGGAACACAAAGAAAAATGATGAAATCTTTGGAAAATATTATGGTTTGGTTTGAGTTGGAAAAAGGTTAGTTTGAACATATGATTGTTGTATGTTGAAGTTATGGAAATTATATTTGTCTCTTGAAATCTTTATTTTAGATAAAGATATTTGTTTTTGGCTATTGATGAATGATAGCATTGCTTGTTGTAGAAATTGCTTGTGAACTAGGTTAATTGGAATCCAATCACTCATGTATTCAATTTGAACATTGGTTTTATACTTATGCATTGAAAAACATTGTTTTGAGAAAAATTGGTGAATATCGTGGTAAATCTAATTAGGGGGTGTGGTTATGATTAATTAAGTTAACCTATGTGTCCTTGAAAAAAATCCAAAAACATGTGCGGTTATGATGTCTTAGTTCTAGTTAATTGTCGGTGAAATGGCTTTGGTAATACTTTTTTAGTCTACTTACAGATATGTATCTAGAGATTTCTAATGCGTGTATTTACTGCCATGTTTTCTATTTTGAGGGAAAAGAAATATACTAATTGTGATTTACACTCCATCATAACATATTTTAAAAAGAGAAAACGCATGTTTTGGTAATAGCATTCTTGTGCATTCACCATATGGCATTGTTAAGCATCATATAGATCACTAAAATTATCTTTACTGGGTTTTAACTCACCCTATGTGAAAACTAACTTTCAGGTGCTGATAATATGCTTTCATCAAGGAGATAGCTTTGGACGATATTGGAGCTGAACGCTCATTTCTATTTTGTAAATATATTTTGTACAAGCCTAGGGTTTTCTTGTATTGGGTTTGACCCACTTTGTTGTAACCAAGCGAAGTCTTGGAAACTTTTAGCCTGTAGGGCATAAACTTGTATCTATTTACTATTATTTTTATATATCTATCACATGTTATAGATTCATGATTTAGGATTGATAAATGTATTAATGCATGTGACATCTCTTGTAATGTTTAAAGAACATCAATGAATGAATGACAGTTTTGAATTCAAAGATGTGAACGACCTTTGAATGGTTGGGATTTGGTAGGCTTCCGCATATCTGTTGAGAGTTATAAGAGTTATCAGTTATTATTTTCAGGGCGTTACAGAAGTGGAGGTGTTGGGCGTGGTAGTGGCGGTAGTGGTGTAGTAGCGACGGCGGTGGCGGCGACAGTAGTGGTGTGGTGGTAGTAAAGAGATAGAGATGGTCGTAGCAGTGATTGTTGGGCAGTGAAAGTGGTGGCAGAGACGATGGTGACAGTGATTGTAGCCATGATATAGTTTGGAAAATATTTTTCACCTTTTAATACTGAAAAAAACATTTTATACCCAAATAGACTTATTTTCCATTAACAACAGAAAATGTAAAAAATGATTTTTAAAAAATATTTTTCACACGAACAAATAAAACATTCACATAAGTAAAATCAATTCTAATAGTAAATACAATCACAAAAACTGACATCTGTTTCTGAGTGACCTACTGTCTGAGTTTTTGATTTATTCATTACAAATCAACAATTGAATTTATTGAGTAATTTGTGAAAGGAAATAAGAAAAAAAGATAAGAAGAAATAAAGTAAGGGATCTTTTAGTAACTGATAGTCGATTCCACCAAAAAATAAAAAATAAAAACAAAATGAAGAAATAATAACAATAATAAATATGTAAATAAAATACTAATAATAATGCTCATAGAAAGAGCACATAAAATTCATTGTATGGTTCGGATCTCTAGTTAGGCCCAACTGGAGGTGCTGTTAGGCCTATATGGGTCCACCACAAGTGTTGCATAGATAATCCAAACCGTTCAATATGTAGAACTTGTCAAGTATTTCATCTTTACAAAATATCACTTTAATCAGACATCGATAGCCATTTAATAATATTAAGGCCTTGTTTGGTTTGTATTTCAGAAACAATTTTTTGAAATCTTTTCTGAAAATACATTTTTGGGAGTCATCAAACCAAACAGATTTTCTCAAAAAAATTCTCAGAAATGTGTGTGGTTGTCTTTTTCCAGGATCACTTCAAAACAAATTCTCAGAAATCCGTTTGGTTGGTTTTTTCAGAAACACAAAATACAAACAACCCCAATTATGTAAACATGTTTCTTTTTTTTTTTTTTTTTTTTTTTTCTTTTTTTTTTCTTTTTTTTGTTTTTTTTTTTTTTTTTTGAGAATGAAGCAAAACAGCACAACATATTATGCATCATGTTGAAGTTTTACAGATCAAGCAAGACAGCACAGTTGGTGTTCACGTTGTAGTTGGTGTTCATCATGTTGGTGATCAAGCAAGACAGCACATATCATACATGAGTAGAATTTTCACAATGAGCAGAATGAAAGAGTTAGTGATATAGAGTTAGTGATATAGAGTACTGAATTTTCAGAATGTGCATGTACAACCATTATAGAGTACTGAATTTGAGTGCAAAAATCAGGTGTAAGAAAGAATTTGCATGTACAACCATTATAGAGTTAGTGAAAAATCAGGATAGGGATACTAATAGAAATCTTCCACTATTTATATGGATTAGAATGTGCAAAATGATATCAAAATAGTAATATTAGAGCTCCAAGAGCTCCTTGAAACCTGGGAGTTAAAAACTGAACCACCTAGAAGAATAAAGATGTGGTTCATAATGAAACTCTAGAACCCATGTCGAATTCTTATTCATTCTACTACTCCTATCAAATGCTCCTTTCAAATAAACCACCGAACTCTATAATGTGATGAAGGATAACCCAGTTACCAGACTAGAATGAACACAATACCTGTTACCACACTGAAAACATACCAAATATCTGAAAGAGAAACATGTAAAAACAGAATCTAAAAGATTAACATAATCTATTAAAGCACTCAATATTTGTCTTAAGGGATGAATACTAACAGAATCTATTAAAGCACCCAATTAAGGCCTTCTGTAAAAACATGTAAAATTGGATCTATTACTACTAATACTACTACTACTACAACAAACTAAACAACCCCTGCTTCAACATGTTTCATCAAAAAAAGTAAACACTAAAACCAAGCGATCCACGATCAACACGCCAATCCAATCAGCAGCATAGTGATGCAGAATTCTTCTCAGAACAGATTCTTGCAGATTATCTACCAAGACCATGGCATAAATTATTGTTGTTCTACCTCACACAGATCATCCTGAAGGAAGTCTCCAACCTGAAGGAAGCCTCCAATGGTACGCAATTTAAAACACACATTCAGAACATAGAGAAGCATCTGTTCCATGACCAGAAAAAAGAAAGCAGCATAATGCAAATTTAACATACACAGAGAAGCATCTATTCCAGTTACAGATTCAGAACACACAGAAATGGGACTGTTCCAGTTACAGCATCTAAATATAAAATACATATTCACCATTGCATCTAAATTTAAAATATAGATTCACCAGTTACAGCATCTAAATTTAAAACACAGATTTAGAACACACAGATTCAGCATCTAAATTTAATCTAATCAACTATCCACTATTTCTAAAAATTAATCTAATCACAACTATCCACTGTTTCACTAATTTGCCAGCAACACAGTAACACGGATTTCAACACATGGATACAAAACATCACCCAGATAAAGAAGACACAGATTCAGAACAGCACCACAGTGAATTTGATTACAGCAGCCACACCACGTGTCCTCAGATAATACATCCCTATCTTCAAACCCTTGCATGTCCAAAATTGAATAATAAGTATTTAAGTAAGTACATAATGCAAATAAATATGTATGCATACACTACTCTTAATATTAACATTAATAACAATTAGATAAATTTTCAACTTTTTGTCCAATTACCTTAGACCAAGCATAGAAATGCAAGGAAGTCAGCTTCCCAGCATCAGGTTGATCCATGTGGATATTTTTAAGCTGTAACTCTGATCTATGTAGCACCCACGGTCAATTGCCATGTCTACTAATGTTTTGGTTTTCCATCTCCCACACAGTCCTGATAATTTACATCATACTAAACAAGATGCTGCAAACATTTAAGACAAGTAATACTTGTCCATACTTGTAAATAGCTTCCAGTTCCACCTGTCATATGGCATCACAATCCATACTCAAAAGTAAACGAATTTAAATAACCGTACATCAACACTTCTGACATAATGCAACTACCACAAGCTGTTTGGAAAAAATCAACTACGAAATAGTACAACATAATTACTACCGATCGTTGCGCTACCATAACAAAACAACAATTTCAAGCATTGTTTCAACCACAGTTTGGAATATCCTACATAAGTACAATGACCAACAAAAGTACTAACAAAATGACCATAATAGTAAAACAAAGTAAAGCGTTGCATTCACAACAAACCCAAAACAACCACTTTCCCCCAGTACGAGGCACTTGGTAAGGTGTAAGATGTTGTATCCCACCATCATAGTCATCAACCCAGAGGAAGGAGCCCCTATGATTATCCCAATTAGGACAACGGAAAAAATAACGACCATTGTTCGCTTCGGTGCGAGCCATAATCACCAACATTGGCCCAGTACCACATGAATAATTTGGTGTCACCTTCATCTGCATATGGCTTTTGAGTTAGCAATCCCATTTTCAAATATATACAACAAATACAAATATAATGTGAAGTTTGAAACATTAACCTACTTTGATTATGTGCTCCATTTTTTCCAATTACTAAAAAGAATCTACCTACTTGTTATCATATACCTATTGTTGTATGCCTCCCACATAGATGCCGCAACCTCATCTCGCCATTGTCCCATCTGCACTAGTTGTTCACGTGACATGTTCACATGGTTGTGTTGTTGCATAGCTGGTACTCCATCTTCATTTCCATGGTCATTTTGAACTCCAACTTCACCCTGAACTTGACTTGCTCATCTTCATCTTCGTCTTCAACGTCATCTTCATCTTCGTCACTTGATTCTTCTGCATCGAAAAATTCATCCTGTTCTTGCACCGTCCGGATCCAATTGTGGAGAACACAACATGCCTTGTCGTACCATATCATACCGTGGCATGTGTCTCAATAATGGAAACCGTTTCTTCAACACTCCAAAGGTTCTTTCGATAACATTCCTCAAAGAAGAATGTCTATGGTTGAACAACTCCTGTGGACCATGGTAGCGACGCCGCCTATTAAACTCTTGCAAATGGTATTTTTGGCCACGATATGGGGCTACGTACCCAAGCAGGTGTGTATACCCGGCATCAACGAGATAATACTTGTCTACAGTAAAACTCTTTCAGTAAGAACATGTCATGGCATATTTGGGTGTGAAAAAAAGGAAAACTCTAAATTAAAAACAAATACACTTACTAGGTAGTGGGTGTGGAAAGTCAGCAGAATTTGTGGTAAGTGCTTCTAGGAAAATTCTCGAATCGTGTGCACTACCTTCCCAACCAGTGTATACAAACGTAAACTTCATGTCAAATGAACATGCAGCCATGACATTTTGAGTTGTATGCACTTTTCTACCTCGATATGGCATTTGGTCACCTTTTGGTGCCACAACAACAACATGTGTGCCATCTATGGCCCCTACACAGTCCTACATGACATAACTTTGAATTAATTTATCAAATTTTCAGTCTCAACAAGCCATATAAAATAATGCAAATGAACTGCCATTTTTGTTACCTTAAACCATGGCCAGTACCGTCTGTCACTCCGAATTTTACGATGGGTAACATCCATGTTCGGTGGTTGGATTACAAATGGCGTAAGATTTCCCAACGCCCGCATCATAAGTACGAAATGACGATGAATTGTCTCATTTGAGTGCTGAAATCGATCTCCAGCATTTCTTGTTCTAGAACTTTGACCACAGATAAATAAAAACATAGCCAACGACTCTTCAAGTGACAATCGGATGTTCGACCAGTCTACAACATTTCTACGAACAATCTGTTTAGCTAATTCCACAAATGTCGGGACTTCCATTTGCAATTGTTCACGGATTGATTTAGGATTTTCACTCAGTAAGAATTTTATGTACTGCTCACTGGTGTATGGACAATTACGTTGTGGTTGTCTCATAGGAATGTCACGTGTTAGTTGACAAACCATGTGTAAGTCCATCACATCATCATCATCGTCACTGTACGGGTCGTACATATTGTTTGGTTGCCTTCCATTGGGTCGTGACGACGACATCTAAAGCGGAAAGTGTAAAACAATCAAGGTATTATTAGTAATGACATGAGTATAGCACCAAAAATTTAACGAGGACAGTGCAACAAAGAAAGTATGGCGAAAATATATTACGACAAAATGGTGGTAAGTCTAAAGCAAATGAACTTAGATAACATGATATAGATTGTTAGGTCAACACCCAACATAGTCCAAATCGAAAGGGAAAAACAAACAAATTAAAACAAATATAATTTAGGTTTAACAAATGCGAAAAACAAAGAAAAAAACACCCAAACAATTCTGTGAGCATCTTCATTTCCTTCACCTCAAATCGAACAGTGGGATGACCAAGCTTCTCACAAACTGAGGATCCAAAAGTACCTCATTTCCGGTTCCATGGTCATAAACATGGTTCGCCATTCTAGTGTTGTGAACGTGTTCATGGCCTTAAAAAACAAGCTCAGATCCAGGGCCATTGATTTTATGATGGTCATACATGCTGCAACAGAGTACGCATCAACTGCCCTAGCGTTGGCCTCTGCTTGAAGGTAAAACCGTTCACGTGCTTCACATGAACATTGCCATGATTGCAGTGCATCGTCCATTTTGGGGTTCTTGCTGGACTAACCCTGGCCACTCAACTTACGCTTACTTCCGGAAGTGCAATGTTCATCTACTACGCCTTTTCTTGACGTATATGCATGAAAGCGTTCATCCATTTCTCGCTCGTTATCAGATGTGGGTGCACCCTGACGAGAAGAACGTGCAAAAGCGCCAGTGGAAAATGACTTGGCAAATATTTCTGACATGAGCTCATAATGTTCAAGGCCTTTGGTTTGGAATTGTTTTGTATTTGGGTGTGCCTACAAGTTGTAAACATTAATTAATCATTTAGAAAATTATTTCTCTATGCACATGGTTCTGCTAAATGTATGCCCAAAATAATTACCTGAATATAATTTTCCCAAACATCGTCTGGGGCTGTCACTGTTTGAGTGATTGTATCCCAGCCCAAACCCGTGTGGTTTTTCAGAGCAACAAACTCTTTGTAGTTCGCCTTCAAACGCGCGAACTTACCCTTCAATTTTTTTTGCCCATAGTTTTTTCCAACCTTTTTAGTCATCTCATTATCAATTGTTTGTCACTGCCTTGGGTAAAAACTCCTATCTTTCTTTGACATGGAAGGACCCTCTTTCTTAATTTCATCCACCAATATTTCTAAAAATATCTTGACAATTTCGGACCCCCACATCTTATCGTCATTATCGTTAGCCATTGTAGCCTAATACAAGTGCAACAAATTACAGTTTATAGTTATGTGAACAACTTAAGTTCCAGAAAAAGTTTGGCAGTACGTGATATGAAGCATATGCATAATAATAGCCATTACGAATATTACGAATATTTAATATGAGATTCCGCGTGCAAAAGTTTACCGGATAGGGACAATCGTTTTCAGCAGTGGAGGAATTGACTGATGGTTGAGGTGATCTCTTCCTCTTGGCCCTTGGTGTATTGAATAATGACCGAGGAGTACAAAGTTGGCCTGGTTTAAAATCAAAATGAAAAATTCAATTATGGACAATTTTGTACACTATAATGCTCTTGCATAATGCCTATATTTTACATGGCATACATGAGCAAAATTTTTGTATAATAGTACACCTTCAGAACTTAACAATACCATACAAAAAAAGAAAATAGGAGAACTAGTAGAAAAGTGACTCGTGAGCAGAATGAGCAGAATTTATATATGGCATACATGAGCGGAATTATCAAAGCAGAATTTTCAGAATGAGCAGAATTTATGTATGCATACATGAGCAGAATTATCAAAGCAGAATTTTCAGAATGAGCAGAATGAAAGTAATTTTCAAAGTTTCAAAGACAGTTTGAGAAATTAATCAATATAGTAATGACAAGCACCTAGACATGGAGAGATCACTGGTTTATTACTTTGTCACCTTGAATTTAGTAATGATATTCTTCTAAGATTTTGAAACCACTAATTGTTGTGTTTTCTCATCTATCTTATCCATTAATGTTGTTTTCGATATCTCTGCACTATATCGCTTTGAACTTTAGAGGTTATCAAATGCATCACTCTAGCAAGCTGAGACATCAATTAAATGGAAAAGAAAAATAAAATGTATAATGCATCAAGTCATCTTTACGCTCCAATTTACTGTCATTTTAGCTTAAGGAAGAGGTGCTTGTTGGTTCTTTTTATTGATCCAATCTGTTAACTCAAGCTATGAAACCACAGAGCATTTCCTTAATGACATACCTTGTACATTTCTTTACTTTAAATCTACTTATGATATTTTATGCATCTGTGTGGTGATCTATAGCCTTCTCTTGAATGGTTCATTTGCAGCATACTGTTCCCAAAATAAAAGCTGAAATGGATAAAACATTGCAGTGGCTCATTCCAATTGCCACTAACACAACCAAGTAAAACTACTAGCCTTGACAACATTATGCAAACTCAACCACTATATAAAAAATTAAACTACTCCATTAAAACTTTAAAATCTACTCAAAAGATAAACAACTCAATCTTTTTAACACATTCTAAACTGCTACTCGACTCATTTACAAGCCTAATCAGTAGTGTTTTGTAACCTCACATTTGCTATTTTTCAATGTATCAAAACTGCATCTTCTATTTCCAACATCAAATATGTGCAGCATTTTCTATTTTCTCATTGTTTTTATATTCTCAAAGTAAAAGATTTTTTGAAAAGCCAAAACTACAACAAAAGCAACACTCATCAACTGCTATGTTAGACTTGGCTTGCTCACAAACACAAAACACACACCAAGCCTACTAATCTACAGAATGAAAGCTTCACCGGAATCAATTCAGCACAAAATGATACAGAACAAAAAATAAGAGTGCAAATGTATAATAAAGTAAAGAAGATTCCAATGTTTGTGGTGTAAACCAAGTGGTGTAGCAATTGCTATCGATTCCATATCCCAAAAGTCTGGCGTCAAAGATAGTGTAACAAATTGCATCAAGCTTTTGCACGATATGCAAGGATATATTACAGTATATGACCACAAAATCCTGCATTTTCGGGCAAAAATTTCCTTCTTATTTGAGAGCTTGAAAATGATATCAGCAGAATTGAGGGACCTTTAAATTATTCTTTCACCTTCATTGTTTACTGCCATGGAACGAAATTCATGGCTGAAATCAGTGTAAATTCATCTTTTCACAAAAAATGGAGAGAAACAGCCATTTTCTTATCAAAATTGTTAATCCTAAAAAGAAAACTATCTGTAATCTGCATATGTTCTATGAGACACCAAATAAATTAAGCTAAGGTTAATTTACCGATTTCGAAAATTATCTGGTGCGTGACTGTATGGACTACGATTTCAAAAATTTACCAGAATCAGTCAATACATTGTTCAAAACTGACAAACCCAAATGAAATTTAAAAAAAAAAAAAAAAAGTAGTCATGCATTAGAAATACCTCTTGCTTGCCTGCTTTTGGTGGCCCTCAAATTCCACCGTCCACAACGAAGTTTTGAGCACGGCCTCTCCGTTTTTGCAGCGAAGGATGAAGTTATGCTTCGTCTTGGTGGGGTTCGACGCTGGTTGGTTTGCATTTTATAGAGCCCAGAAGAAAAAAACGAAGGACATTGATGTTACAAGTCCCGATTGTGTGAAGATTTCATTCAGTTTGACTAAGACCAAAGCTAGGGCACGATTTGGGGAAATCTGTGAGGCAGAGAAGTTGTGATAGACAGTGTCGGTGCATCTAATGCGGAAGATTTCTCAAATCTTGAATAGCGTATTGATGGAGGGAAGGCAAGTGGGCCTTCGAAGGCACTTGGGCGAGTGCAGATCTTGACGTACAGGTGCGGATCGTCTTCCTTCACACAGCCGATAGAGAGCCGTTGGACTGCCTTGAATGATTTTCTTTGTATCACAGAGATAGGTCAGAGAGGTTCTTTTGAGAGAGAGAAGACAGAAGATGCGTTTTCAGAGAAGCTTTGAGAGAGAGAAGTTCCAAAACGTGTTCTGAGATGA